CCTTTCATGAACTTCTCATTGAAAATGAAGAACCAATAAATACGTTTTTTCTTGCCGACTCAACAACGCATGATTTTTGAAGGAATGTCTGAGTTGTTTAGTTTTCGGATGATAGAGAAGATATTTGCCCGGATGAAAGGATTGACAATGGTGCAACGTTCAGTGCCACTCTTGCCACTGACTTCATGTCTAAGGTGGGAGCCTCATCCTTAATCCTATACTATTGCTCTACTGTCGACACATAGATGCTTGTTTGGTCATCTACTTTCCATAGAAGAAGATGGACGCACGTTTTAAACTGTTGTCTTTGCAGTTACAGCATATTAAGTTTGCACGTGAAATATTCTATATTGCGAAATGGTATCGGAAGCCAGCAACAAAATCATATTAGTGCACTACATCTCTGCTCATTCTTTGCACAGAAAAAGCACTTGTGAGAAACATGTGCCAAACAGCAACAATGTTTGCACGGGACTAAAAGAGAGGAAGGATTCACTACGCTGGACACGAGAAATAGCCTTTTCAAATGGCTACGAGAGAAAAAGGGCTATCATTACGTAGAACGGAGAAGTAGTCCCTATACAGAAAACATTAGTATGTCAAACTCAAATAAGTAAATAGCTTCGATACTACACTCCATATCAAACGAAGTAAGTGCCACGATTAACTCACTGGGTAAGACTGGGACATGCCACCAACATCAGTATCGCACGATGAAGGCAGTCTATAGTGCCGAGTAATTAGTGAAGCCAACCGTCGCTAAGAAGTTTCTGGCTCGATCTCCGACCACGACGTTTCACAGTCGCTTTTCAATCAGAATTATTTGAATCTGACAGCCACTTGCGATGTTATGATGTTACAATATACCCAATAGTGTAGATGCTCAAGGATGCTTCAATAGGTGCTCAAAAACATTTACGTCGGCGGGGATCCGAACCCAGATCTCACTCTTTCCGGGAGCGTGTGCTGAACCGTTACCACCGACGCTCGCTTTTCCACAGCACTCTTTCTACGCTACAACGCGTTAGCAGTCAACATCCAACCGTCTGCGGTCTGGCGAGGCAGACACTATCGACATTGAACCCACTTATACTGACAGATATTGGGTATCAGTAATCACTCAGAAATTTTTATATGATCGCCACTGTATTTTAGTAAAGTATATGTTGTTGCTTTACAAATCATCGCTTTTTGAAGAGAAACATAGATACATGAACCAAGAACACGCTTATCCAAATTTTTTTTTCTCATTTATTTCAACGAATTTGCAATAGTCTAGTTCGAAAAGATATTTTCTACAATGTATAGCTTTTGTAAGAAACTTATATAGAAGCGAATGTACTCAGTTCTGCGGAACCTGTGCGTTTGCTCCGTCGTTACCACATCGATCTACGTTTCGTACCAAAAAAAGTGGTGGTTTGTATTTTTTGCTATATCAATTACGTCTAAAGAAGAATCCTCGGTACTAATCGGCAATTAAAAGCAACGCCAATAAATTTGCTGTGAGGCATTGCAGCAGGAGACTGAACTATCAACCTTTTTGAGACGGCGAGCATCACTAACCACTCGGCGCTAAGAACCGCTAGAGCCGGTCAGCGAGCCAGAGTAGGTAACGTGTCTCAGTCGTCTCCTGTGAGTTGAAAGATGCTTCAAAAGAGCGGTCTGGGAAACTCTTTTGGAGATGCAAAAAGTCACCCAACATAAAACATCGCCAACTGCTTCGGAACCGCTTGTGCAACTACCGCGTAAAACAAAGGACATCGTAATATATCCTGTTGGTAGAAAGGGAGGCTGTATGAGTTCAGATACATTATACCTAATCTTTTGCAAGACATGTGGTGACGATTACGTAGGCGAAACGAGTAAGACCATTTTGTGTCCGTTTGAAAGAAAATCTTGATGAAAGGTCGAAAGCCGCAAAAATACTTCTTAGGTGCACATATGACTGAAAACCACAACGGTGACGATCTGAGATGGTAGTGAAAATCTTGGAGCACGATCCAGAGACATCAGAGCGGAAAACCCTTGGGGACCTCCAAATGAATTCCAGAAATTCCAAGTGAAGAGGAACGTGTCTGAACACAAAAAATGACTTGACACCTTATCTCAGATTTGTTTTCTAGTATGAGTTGAATACATTTTCCATTGTGTGTAACGAAACATTAGTAAATACTCATATAATGGTAATTGGACGATGTGTATGATGCAATGAGGAACAATGACTTTTCTCTTCGATTTTCATCCATTGTAGAAATTATAGTACTAATCGAATGACTGGGTATGGTTTGATATATTGTGCCGTCTAGGCTCTGAGAAAGGCGAAATCGCCGAACGTAAGTCACCGATGTTAAAAGAGGAAATGGCAACCCCACGCAGTTTTAGTCAGAAAAAAGAACCGTCCTAAGAGCTTCGTATGCAACACTGCTTCCTTTAGTTCTCGTTTCTATTAGACTTTTAGGAAAGCTACCGGCTAACGCTGACTCCAAACACCGTTCTCACCTTTCCGATTCAACAATCTCAGTACTCTGTTATGCAGTAGAGACGTGGAGTAATACTGCATCAATGTCAAAAAATCTGCTCATCGCTCACTGAGTGCTTTGCGCTGATGGTGAAACAAAGATGAGCTGGTCACATAATGAAAAGAACAGATGACAGATGAGCGAGAGGAACAGTGGAGTGGAGTCCAAAAGATGCAACCTCACGGAAAGCTACAAACGATAGGCGGACGGGTTTGTGGTTAGCGTCAGCCATGTGCATCCGCAAGTGGCAGCGCTTTTAGAATCACAGAAGGACTTCGTGTCGTCACCATGCTCGAAATAGACCATCATCATAGACAACAATTGCGACGGCGGGAAGCAAATGAAACTATGCTGGGGCTCGAACTACCAGTGAAGGCGGGTCGTCCAAGTTCCCAAGTGTCCGCGTAAAAAGAACAGTGAATTTCCAAAACTGAGAAATCGCCAGAGGCAGTTTCGGAAGCAGTTTAGATGCTCAAGAATATTTCAAGAATTATCTGTTGACATGCTTAAAATGTGATTGTGGTAGGTTAGGCTAGTAGTGGTCTTATGTGTACTGTGAATAAACTAGGTTTTCGATCAACAATCTCATTTTATTTCTGTATCGATGGCCATAGCTAATTGTGGAGCGTGAGGCCAGGTGTTGTTGTGCAAATGTATTGGATCTGACGATCAAATCTGGGCACATACGCTTCACTTTTGTAGATTTTCATCTTTTTAATGAGAGGAAGTCCCTGATGTGATAGATTCGCGAAGAATGAAGATAACGTTATTTATTATCCCCTCTGCCGAAGTTGAGGAACTTATAGCGGACATTTTCTTATGCGAGCTCGTTTAGATGTGCTTGAAAACATCTCGGTCCTAAACTGATGTTGGTTGCCGGTTGGAATGCAGTTTCAACCAAACATGACAGTGGAATTGATGTACGCGTTGTTTCTGCTCCCAAATAGAGGCAAAGAGCAAATTTCTTAACGGAGATGTCGCTACTCTTCATGCAATTTATGCCGCACCCAGCTAGCGAGCTTTTCATATTTCGAGTTTCTCCAAATGACAAACGGTTGCAGAACTGTAAATGTTCAGTTTTGCTGAAGCCTCTTTGGTGGTTCTTGAAACAGCATTTTCGATTGTCGGCTTCCAATCACATTGCGGATCACATCCATCATCGGACAGCGATTTTCGATAAGAAACTTTTCGCCGCATAAAGGATTTCTACAAGAACATCAGTAACCATTCGAAAGCGCAAATTAAGGAGAAGAATTTTAAATATTCAACTTTTTCTCGGAAAGGCCTTCTTGCAATGCTGTAGCAATTAAAATAAGGTTATGTTTCACACGCGCTGCACCTTTTTTGCGCTTTTACCTCGCACGATAGAGCATTTCCCTTAGAATTTTAGTAAACACTCCATAGCGTAAGTTTCTGCCATTGTAACACTATACCTGTTTTCTGACAAGATTGTCTTACTGCACTGTAGCAGGGAAATAATTCAGCTGAGGTCTGTGATGGCCGTGGATCGGTAGCTGCGATCGATAGACCGCACAGGCACAATTCACATGTGAGGTGCGATCTATGTTACTGACTTTAGAGTTTCTATGACGAAAAATTAATGTAAATGTAACTCTAATGCTTAAAGATTTCCTCTACACGTTCATACACTTTTCGTGCTTAGGTTTACACCAAAACTGAGTACCGAGTTTGTTTGGCAATATATTGAAAAGTGAAATGCCTTAGCACTATAACGATAAAACAGTGTTTTCTTCAACAATTTCGCTACAAAAAAGCTTACAGATTCTTGCCATGAAGCGTGGGGCGTGTGATACACATTTAGTATTGAATGCTACAGCGCTGTAAAAGTTTTCTAAAAAGCAAATTGCTGAATTCACCGATACGTAAGCTATCGAACGATTACCGATAGTTTAATGGGAAAGTCTTTGTTTAACAAAAGAGGTCCCTTCAAAAAATCTCTGCCCGACCACGACAATGATCACTTTTGCGTATGAACTCCTACTCAAAGACCAAACCATACGATCCATTCGTAGCGATTCTTGTGTGTATAATGCTCCTCTTATAGTTTTGTCATGCAGGGCTTTGCGTTCACTGCAGTAGATTAAGCTGTAAACTTGAGCAATAAAACCGGTATACGTACATTATAGTACGACCACATCAAGACACCGATATCGATAGATCTACAGAGAACTTGGATAAATACTATGCAATCATTAGTTGGAATTATTAGAAATGAGCAATCCTACGAGCAATGCGAAGCAGGCTCCTGAAGTATACATGTTGTAGCAAAGGCACCACCCGATGCATTGATAGTTCCGTGGTGGTGCGTTAGCCTGCCATGTGGGCGACCCGGGGTTCGATTCCCGGTAGTGCACCAAATGTGCATTGGCCGGGAATCACCCGATCGCCCACATGGCAGGCTAACGCTCTACCACAGAACTATCAATGCATTTTATGGTGGTGTCCTTGTTACAATTTTGGTGCATCGGCCGATAATCGAGCCCGGATCACCCGCGTGGCGGGCGAACATTCTACCTCTGAATCACCGATGCACAAATATGCACACTGCACATCGGTCGCTGATCGAACTGCTTGTTAAAGTTGGTGGCAGCTGGGTGCCACCCTCGCCACTTGGACCATTTTCTGTCTAAAGTCCTCGAACCTCTGCGATACGACTTGCTCTCTAATATCATGGACCATCTGCGTTGCTCAAATTATCAAGTAATTCCAGAAAAGCGCAAAACTGCCTTGGGAGGTTTGCTATACATGTAAAGTAGATTGAGGAGCAAGTATCAGCATTCTACATGTGAAGTATAGCGGAGAACAATATTTTGTATTACAGATGTAACGTCTAATGAGGGCAAGTCTCTACATTATCCATGTGGATTTAGTGAAGAGTAAGATTCTGTATTATAGATGTGAAGTGTAACAAGGGAAAAGCTTCTTTGTTATGCATGTAAAGTGTGATGGGAAGCAAGCTTCTGTAGGAAAGATGAGTTGAGAATCAAGAGGGATGGAAGTTGCAGCCGAGCTCCAAGTGGAGTCCATAGCCGAATGGCACTTCTGTGGCCATGACGCTTTCCAAGATTCTTGTTTGCGTTAACCTACCAGTAGTTTGCCAGCACAACACTGGTCAACTACTGTGGAAAACACGTCTTTCCATATAACCAATCATTGCGTTTTGAATAGTTCACCGGCGCAACACTGGCTATCTGGTGCGCGAAACAGGTGCCGCTTACACGAACACAACAGCTGATTGTGCGGGATATGTGGCCGGCCGGTTAGTGTGGGAAACTTGAATCGGCTACTATGACTGACTGTCTATCCAATAACTATTATAATTATCTGCAAGTGGATAACTTTACTATTAATGACTATGTGCACTGAGAAAAATAGCAGTTATTAAGGAGAAGCACTGGAATACCATTTCTGCTTTACGCTTTTGGAAGCTCTTCCCTCTCGTATTGTTATTTTAAATCGCTATTCTTGAAATAGCTTGTTTTCATGTATAATGTTCAATGTTTAATTTAGTGATTCAACCTATAAGGAGCCTTTTATTCCAATAACTTAAACATGTATGGATCAAATGATATTCTACCCATTTAGAGTAGCGCGCCACTGACTCCTGTACTGACAGCTGATGATGTAGTACCCGTTTCGCAAACACTGTTCCAAGTATCACAACAGCACTTCACAGAGGCATTCAATGCAAGTCGCAAGAAGGGGCGATGTGTTTTGATGTTTTGGTTATTATATAGTCGAATATGCGTCATAGTTTCAACTCTTAGTACGGTTTTTGAGCATCCCAAATCTTACTGGAATCTCCCGAAAGGATAACATCTATACGCTGGTAATAGTGGTGCGTTTTCATAGATTTTGACATTTTTGTGATACCAAATGAATTGAAGATTCAAAAGCATCCTTAGAAATGATCCAAGCATGTCATTCAAAATTGATGTATATTGTGCTGTATGGGTTCCAGCGAATAGTGAGTGCTGTTCTCTACCGGAACCTAACATGGCTATAGAAAGCAAAGTTCAGGATGAGAAACCGGAGGTGAGTAGCGCGATACTGATTTCATTGCTTTCTCTTTCCTTATGCAACTTGTCGAATTGTCTTTGCTTTTATTAAGATAATGTTTTCAGTCGGCACCGATTTTGATGATGACGTATTTGAGCAACTGTATGAATAATATCAAATCTACTCTAAACACAAATGGCGTTCCTGTAGGGCTAGATGCCAATGGCCGTGCTGTGAGTGTCTGTTGCAGTAACAACTTGTGATATAATGATATTAGAATGCATAAAATCGATTGTTTTTAAATTCTTGTAATGAACATTCAAGATTGGTACACCAGGGCCATACAGCGGTGTTTCGGAGGTTTCGGCCTCCTCGTCAGTGACCCCCGCCCCACATTAAGCCCTGCTTTGTAGCAAGGAGGGAGGCGTATGTGGTATGTGGTGATGGCATAGTGTACAATGACACTGGTCCATCACCACTTTCAGTCGATGGAATTCGGCTGGTAGACCAAAACAATCCATAAAATCGACTGTCCTTAAAACCTCGTAATGAACATTCAAAATAATTCCAAAAAAAAAGAATGTTTGTAGCCTAAACGAAGTTGGTACGCCAGGACCATACACCGGTGTTTCGGATGTTTCGGCCTCCTCGTCAGTGATCCCGCTCCACATTAAACCCTGCATTGTGGCAAGGAGAGAGCCGATTTTATGGATTGTTTTGGTCTACCAGCCGAACACCATCGACTGAAAGTGGTTATGGACCAGTGTCATTGTACACTATGCCATCACTACATACCACATACGCCTCCTTGCTACAATGCAGGGCTTAATGTGGGGCGGGGTCACTGACGAGGAGGCCGAAACCTCCGAAACACCGGTGTATGACCCTGGCGTACCAACCTCGTTTAGGCTAAAAACATTCTTTTCTTATATTAGAATGAACATATCCAACTGCCAAGAGATCTCGATATTCCGATAATCAAAAAAGATTCAGAAATCTTAGAAAATTGGGACCATGTGTAATCATTTAGTCCTATTTTGCAGACTTATAGCCGTTGTTATAGGAGTTATACAAAATCGAAAAGCTAAAAAAATTCAAGCCGATTATTCATTGCATCCAATCGATCCGATTTTTCAACAAGCACGAGCTCGAATGGAAAATGCTCGTGAATATCGAGAAATTTCACCGCCAAGCGCGGTCTCTCAGCTGTCTTCTTCTCGTGGTTCAGTTGCTGAAGATGGTAGGTATTGTTTGATTTGCATATCATATTAGACTTATAATGATAGTCATGTAATTTTATTCGTTAGCTTGGATTCTCACATTCAAAGTCTTAAAATAGATATCACCTGCTATATCCTCTTTGATGATTTTAACGAGTAATAACGCAAAATATTTCTATGCTTTGAAATCTGTACTCTTGAAGACAATACCTTAGTGACTTTATTGCGATAAAGACGTGGAAATGTCATGGCTACGTCGGGATTCCATCAGAAAAATACGCATAGCCACGATTAAACTTTTTATCGAGAAAAGAAAAAGGCAGTTCTTTAGACAACGCCCAGTGTACGCACACAATCACGCGTTTTTGTTTGTGATAGTCGTTATATGACAAAATAAACGTAGACAGCACTGTGGTCCCCGCTACATTGAGACATATTGTCAATGTGTTCCAGAAAGAATATGCCAAAATCAAGCACTTCTGATGGAGATACCAGAAGTACTATGTTGTCATACAAGATTGTTTTTTTGCAATGTTAGTGACTATCGCAAAATCTAACAGCTCTTCCTCATCTATGAGATGTTTAGTGAACGTTTTTCTCAGCAGGAACAAAATAAAACTGAACGAAAATGAAGCATTGGTGAGGAAATAAGGTCCCACAAGTAGTTCAGTTTGAAAATTATCCAATTAGTTGGAGAACTTTTCAAATAATGATGAAAATATGAGAGAATGTAGGGGATAATACTCTGTTCTCAACCTCCTAATATTAAAATGCTTGCTGTTTGTGCGGTCAGAGAAACTTTGGGCAGTCATAATCAAATGTCACAATATTATGTGGACTATACAACAACTTCATCACCTTGATTATCCTCTTGTACAATGACGTGATCACTAACATCAAAAGAAGTATGACAAGCGAGACAGTGTCGCCGAAATTGTTCAGCGTCAATGTACAGAGCAATGCAAGAAAACCTTAGCATGACTGGAGACTGAAAGGCTTCTTGAATTCTTGTATTGAATTTTCCAAATGGAAAAGATTTTGGTGTGATAGTAATCATTTTACGAACGTGTGTTGTATGTGATAAAGTTGTAATGCGGGGAGTCCTTAGTACACCATAATCGCCTGATGTTAAAGTCGTTCTCAAAGTTGCATTGACTGAGCAGAAGACAAATGAGCAAACGAACGGCGTTTGTGATTGAGCTTTAGGTGAGTCCTAGGAGGAAACCTAATGAAAATAGTGCGCGCCAAAGCGCATTTGTTCCTAGTGCTATTTCATCTCAGTTGCGACTCAACATAAAGCTCATTTCCGATTGCATCATCTGTTTGCATGTATCAAGAAGTTAATATAATGAATGACTTAGCTCAAAACTGAGCTGAAGGAAGCGAGCGATATGAAAGAGTCGTACATTACTGTCACGATTTAAGTGTAGGATAGCACCACGTATTACGCGTAACTTTCACTACGACAATCTTCCATAATCTCGACGGTGAACGAACGATAGAAGGAGAGTCTATATGCATACATAGACATATATATTTTTATACATATTCATATTTTTAATGATGTGTTTATACAAATTTACATGTACGTGGGTATTTTATATATTCCGTCATCACAATGTGTGGGACTCGGCACTTCTTGCATTCCATGTTTTTCCTCCTTCTCACATTCATCGTCCCAAAGGTCTTTGAGAGTTTCACGCGTAGTTTTTACCCTTGTATGAAACTTCAGTTTTTTTAAAAACGTCATCGACTGCTAGATGAGTCGATTCTCCTTGGAGTTTTGAAGGTAGCCGAGCTAGGACGTTCATACTTGATTGTGACGATGCGTTGAGCGAGGCTATGAATGTACAATAATTTCTGCGAGTGTGTATCATCATAGGCATAATTAATTATTATACAGAGATCAAACAAAAAAGTCATAACTCCTCAAATTCACGTCGAACATCAAAGCTAATCAAATGAAGCAATTTTAAACTCCTATCTCACCATTTGATAGTCACAGTGAAACTATTTCATTAGTCTGCAGGCTCGAGCTTTTCACCAGTGTCACTTGCTCCGAAAATCACTTCTTCTGTTGTTTATTTCAGAACTACCGCGAATCCATTCGGGATCATTAAGGTAGTTCCGGATGCGATAATCTAGACTCACCGGTAGAAAAGCGTATGCGGATCGCTTCCGATGAGGATAGCCACTAATTATGCTTTTTTTGTGCTTCTCGGAGTGGATTCACATGTTCTTGCATCATCTACCTTATTGCTGTCAATTTTGTATATTCATTTGATTTTACAATGTTCCACTTTTCTGGGATC